GAGACAGAAAGGCCCATTTACCTCAAGTCACCATTGTACCCGGTACAGGTGTCTCTTACACAAGGCAACGGACAGGGGGGTGATACAATGGGACAATGAATGGTTCAAGCTTGTCAACCCCTTCTGGACCCAGACCTCACCTCCCTTCCTGTGGAAGTGAAACCAGCTGCCTGTATCTGCATGTTCTACCCAATCCATCGGGACAGAGAAGAGGTGAGGAGGACACCCTTTCTCGTCTTAGACCTGAGGAAGTTTGGAAAAGCCATTTCTCTCTAAAGGAAAACAAATCTAACTTTCAGAGTTCTTTTTGCCATGACAGAATGCCTTCTTTTTTCTCCAGTGTCTCCTAACAGTGAAGTTAGCTCTTTGGGGAGCTGCAGAGAGGCGTGACATCATGCCTAGTGATGCTAAGTACCAGCTGGTGAATGGGAGTGGGGAGTAGCTAACCTTGTGCCTGTGCTGAGTGAACAGTGCTAGCCTGGACAGGGGTGGGGAGGTCACTGTGGCAGCAGTGGGTCCCTCTCCCATCCCATGCACCTGGGTTTCCCATGAACAGCCTTAATTGAGTGCTGAGTGGGCCAGGTCCTGCTGAGGCTGAGAAAATATGAATTCTGGCTTCAAAACATTGAAACAACTCTTTGGCAACAGTCAGCATTAGAACAGAAATGACTGATGACATAACTCCTCCAGAAGAGCCCCTCTTATTTGGGTAACAAGGAAAACTCAGGCAGAGACACAGGGTGGATTGGGGCAGGGATGTTGTCTGGATGCAAAGCGCTTCCCAAACATGACAATGTCCTACCCTATTCTTCACAACAGTGGGACCTTAAAACAAAGTGACGAAGACTCTCTCTTTGCTCTATACATAATGGATACTTGCTCTGTATTTGCAGGGAAAGATTGTTTCTGTAGTCAGTAACATCTGAATGCTGTTGGATGAGGTAACCTTGGCATTGCCATGGAGACATGTTTTCTAGCTGCGCCTGCATCATGAAACTGCACACTGAGTTATTGCTCATCTGCAGCTGGACGTCCAGACACAGAGGAAAGAGTCGTGTCCATAGCAGGACACACCCCGGAAGAGGCCACAGTGATTGCCACAAGGCCACTCCCCCGGGCCTGTCCACAAACGGGTCCGAAAGGTCCATTTGGACCTAAGACTGATGTACAGATGATGCCGGATTGTGAGCCCTCAGTAAAGGTGAGACAGAGATGGCGTGGCAGGGAAAACTCATGAAAACCAGCTTGCAGGTCTCCTCCCACTGCTGCTCAGATCCAAGGAGGCATCTGTTCCCAACAGTCCCTTTGAAGTAGAAGCCGGGACTGATGCACTGCTGTGCCTCCTGGGACCACAAAAGAGGAGACATTTCTGTGGCTACAAATAGACTAGAAAATACTTGGAGGGTAATATTTGGCTGCACCACAGAGCCTGAATTCTGCTGGAATAGTTTTATAAAGCAGTCAGGCCATGGTACAAAACCCATAAATATCATGCAGATCATGACAGGACCCTGCAGAGACGTTTCTCACGTGGAGAAGTGTCTGGGTGATTCAGGACAGCAGTGCACATGCGGTCCACTGAAACGGGGGCTGTTGCTCACACTGACTTTCTCTCTGAGAAGCACTTACGTCCAGGAGAGGTGGAATCAGTCTTTGACAAGTGATGTGCAGGGTTGATGTGTCTGTTTCCAATAAGCTGTTTTATCATCTGTCGGTGAGTTGAGTGCAAAGTATAAAAGTTGATCTCATAAAAGGGGAACATGAGTGGCTGGCATGTCACGTTGTATCCTTGTCACTCTGTGCCCTGGCAGCTGGGCTGGCCCTTATTTATAGCAAAGGAGGTTACATAAAAGCAGAATAATCGGATTTTAATTATAATGGGGACTTTTTTCACCCCACGGGGCTCTAAAGGGCCAGGACTATTGTGTGACTTCTGGTTTCCAGGGAAATATGTGTCCCTACGCCACTTGGTAAATGTCCTGCAGAGGAGAAAGGCTCTGGGCTTCTTTAAAGTAGGGTGAGAATTGATAAAATATTTGAAAGAAACAGTCACTGGAAAAATAAATGGACTTCAACTAACATTTTTAAGGACTTAAGACTTCACTAACGCATAGGATTTATTTGAAAAATGACAGCTTCCGTTTTCACAGGACGGTATGTCTAACTGCTAAGAGAGGTGGAGAAAAAAATAGCTCTCATTTTAACAATAAGCTCTCAGGCTAGGAATGTGGCTCAGTGACGGAGCGCTTGCCTGACATATGCAAGGCCCTAGGTTCTCTCTTCAGCACTACAAATAAAATAATAATAAGTTAAAAAAAAAAAAAGAATAACCCCTCTCTCATGAAGACCCACTCCATTTGGGGTTCTATTCCACTTTGCTACCAAAATATCCTTCCATCTCTGCCAGCCTTTCTCTTTTCAAGATTTTGTTATAACCAGTGTTCTAGCCAAGGATAAAAAGGAGAGAGAAAAACAACCCATCACCTGCCTTAGAGTATAGAACCATTGCCTAATGCAGGGGCAGAACCATTCAAAACCCACAAATGAGAACCGTTGGTTAATGCCCACGTGGATGGGAAAGTGCTCAGGATGAAGGACCCGAGGGATCTGTTTGCTTCCTTTCTTCACCTGCTGCTTCTCCTCTCTCTCAGCTCCCACGTGGCCTACATGGACATGGCTTTTGACGCCGTTTGCCTTGAGCTCTGCAGCCCACGCTCAGCCTCACTGATTTTATATCTGCAGCCTTGCAGTCTCCCAGCTCACCTCCTCAGGGCTGGCCACAGCAGGTGACAATCTGGATTGACGTCACTCTATCAAGTTAGTGGTGTGGGTACTGGAGAAACTAGAGGGATGTCCTTCCAAGCCAGCCCAGGGCACAGAGGCCTCCACGTGGGTTCTGTCCAGGACAAGACAGATCCCAAGGCCACGTCCCTATGACCCATTCCCTTCGACCAGGTCCCATATGCTAAATTTTCATCACCTTCCAATAATGCTATTGAGTTGTGGTCTCATCAGTGGTTGAATCCACTGATAAAGTTAGAGCCCTCATGATTCAAGCACCCTTTCAAAGCCTCACTTCTGAACACCTGAGACTTATGGGTAAAATTTTTAGAGCTAAGCCATAATAAAACCTTCGAGAGTCTTTAAGATGTCACCTCATCCCCTTCACCACTCGGTACCAACCACCACTGCAGTACCCGTACCACTGACTTGACAGAGTGACGCCAAAGTACCTACAGTAGCTAACCTACAGACTGCCACCTACAGTGGAGGGCATCCCCTTCTGCAAACGTCAGCTGCTCCAAATGAAGGTGAAATGGGTCCTGGCATCCCCATGGCTCTCCTACCTCTTTGGGTTTGTTCTATGTGCATTAGGAATCTGCCAGTGCTCTGGCCTTAGCCACCTTTCGAGGTGCATCACTTCTCCCTAGTTTTCTCCAATCCTGATCCACTGAAAAATAAAAGCTAAACTCTACCTCTACATCCTTCTAATGCCTGCAAGACCTTTTTACAACATGAAATTGCCTCTTCTCCCATCAAAAGGCAGTATCTGTTTCTCCACCCCTTAAACTTTGGGTTTGACTGTGTGGCTTATTCTGGCCAACGAATACCAGTAAATGTGACACCTTTCCCATCTTTCATAAGAACTTCTACCATGTGGATGAGCAGAGACTGTATTCTAGAGAACAAGAGGTCATGACATCTGTCTCGGCCATGTAGGTTGTAAGAGGGAGGCCATCCTGCATCTCCGGGTCTACTGCGGCCACCCCGAGGCGAGTCATAAATGGGCATTTCCTAAGCCACTGGGTTCTGAGGTGTTTCATAACACAGCAGAAATGAACATACTGTTCTTTCCCACTCCTGCATGCTGAAATGTCTTTCCTTCTTTGAAGCTCCTTAGTATTGGTGTTACCTTTCATTTAACATCTGTCATTTTTGACATCTTCTTAAAACCATTTGTGGGAATATTTAATGTCTATGGGGGAATAAGTTGGTTGAAGGCTAAATTCATGCCAGATTCATTTTTACATTTTCCCCAGGCTACTTCCACAGTATCATCCATGCCCCCCGGTTTCTGGGGGGGGGGTGCTGGTGATTAAGCACCACGGAACAGGGATTTAAAATACAGATTTTGAATTTGTGGGTTAAAACTTCAGTTCTGTTGTGCACTGACTGTCTTCCAGAGAAAATTACGAAGCTGTTTTATTTTGCTTCAGTTTTCTCACCCATGAAAGAGGTCCTAATAACGGAGCCTATATCATGGACTTGCGAAAGGGTTGCAGGAGTTGATGTAAATAATTTGTTAAATACAACTAAAGAGAGGTGCTGGTACTGCCTCCAGCGACTGCAGGCCTCGGCCTCTTTCATGGTTGTCTCTGTTTTCACTCTCACTAAATGCGACCCTGTGCTGCATTACTGAGTAAAAATCCCACTGGCAATCAACTAGTCTGATAACAAAGGGTCAGAAGAGGTGGCTGGATCTCTCTGGGGTCCTCTCCCACTTTAGAGTGAGGGCAGTTTATAAGGAAGTGTTCAGGAGACAGTTGGTAAAAGGATGGCCTTTGGAGCCATTTGGTCTGCATTGTGAGTGCTGGCTCTGTCACTCACAGCTTGAGCACGCCGGGGCAGGTTAGGATGCCTTCCTGGGTCATTTGTAAGGGGGAGTAGCGTTGCCCGCCCCTCAGGATGGATGTGGCCCCTATGGTGTCTGCTCAGTGACAGACATCCTCACTGCTCCTCCGTGTGTGTCCTCTCTCAGTTATGACAGGTGCTCCATCTCTACTGCAATGGTCCCGGCTGCGCGTTCTTGCCTGAAGGACACCGAGGGTGGGGAATATCTGCCAAAGGCGCCATTATAAACGCAGCTAAATTTAGGACTGCCTGGCAATGCCTTCCTCTCTTGTGAGCTCAGTTTTGTGGTGGTTGTTGAGTTCCACATCCATATATGGTGGCCATTTGCACAGCTGCAGAACAGGATTGCAGCACCTGACCGCACCTCCTCCATCCTGGGCTCCTCCTGCCCTGAGCATTACAGGGAATAAGAGTGGCAGTGGTACTGGACAACAGGGTTACAGCAGATTCTTGATTTAGCCTCTTCAGTGTCTTTGCAATCTGTCTATTGTTACATCTGTTCCTCGTCCAAGCTGCAGTCGTCTCTTACCTAAACAACTGCCTTTGCCTCTCCTCCACTAGGGACGTGTGCAGAAAACAGGGCCCCCAGGACTTCTGTCCAGTCACTAATTGAGGAGTCAGCCTAGGAACAGAAGGGAGGACAGGCAGCATGGGAGAAGAAAGACCCTTTCGGATTGCAGGCCACCGCTTTGGACAGCCAGGACCTGCTTGGGACCTTCTGAGGGCTTTGGAATGCTCTGGGCCTGCGCATTGCAGCCAGTGCCCAGCCTCTGCTGGTTGAAGGTTGCTCTGGGAAGCGCAGTCTCCCCAGTACATCCAGCTTGTCCCTGTCCAGGACCTGCAGAGCTGCCTGCACCAGTGTGGTTGAAGGTGTATGGTAAGAGGCACCGGAGCCAGGAGGTGAGGTGATACCCACGCACGGGGCTCTGCCATGACTGTAGCTGACTCAGTGGGGCTGTGCAGGTGCAGGGCAGAACATGCAGGGCTTCCATGAACCTCCTCATATCCCTCCTCACCTTGGGCACCTTGATTTTCTTCACATAGGAGCAACAGCAATCGCTTCTTCAGAAGGCTAAGTGGACTGGTCATACCTACACACCCAGGTGTCAGGACTTAAATTGGCTTGCAGATGAAAATGTCACTAGTGACCCAAGAGACCGTAGCCCATCTTTTGCCCAGCTGTGTGCTCCATTCCTCCTCACCTCCTGCCCCTACCCTATCAGGGAAGCAGGGGTGGATGAAAAGTGCCAGCCACCTGATTTGAGTGGGTCACATAATCAAGGCATCGATCTGCATTTTAAACTCCCTGGTGACCCAAAAGAGAGGGACTGGGGAAAAGCAAAGCCCCCTGATTTGGGGAATTACATCCAGGAGTGTCTAAGTTTCCTAAGCTTGGAAGAGCTGCTGCTGATTTTAACTGTCCTTTATATTAGTTAAGATAGTTATACCACTAATTTTCTTATTTCATTGAAAAGAAAGGTTTGTGCTAAAATGGTTTGGACAGTTAAATGCCATTACCTTGTGTTGGGAGCCGCCGACACCGGTCGCCTTACTTGGCGGACGTAGGGCCTGTGGGTGGGAGCGGGGCCTGAGCTAGATTGCCCCTCCCATCGAGTGAGTCAAGTTGGCGCCTGCTTCCTGCCCCCTGATTGCGCTGGCGACTTAAACAACCCGCTCTGTAAGATAGTCTGCCTAGCAACAACTGATGTTAGCCAATTAGCCCGCATCGCGCGCTTTGAACTGATTGGCCACTGTCACCCTATAAAAGTGAATGCCTCTCCCGCCACGAGAGAGAGAAGCACAGAGGAAGCACAGAGAGAGATAGAAAAAGTCCACCGGCGAGAAAGGGCTGGTGGCAGAGTGGAGGCCTCGCGGGGCCCACGCGGAGATAAATAAAGGCAAGGTTGCACACCGCCAGACTTTGTCGTGTGTCTTTCCTGCCGGCCGGGAGCGACCCCGACAACCTTGCACTCTGAGTCACTAATTTAAAGGTAACAATATGTAGTGTATTAACCGCTGTTACCCTCCTATTTTCTTGTTTGAAACGGTTTTATTCTGTTTTTCTCTTTAAAATAAAATAATTGTCCCTCTGAAAATCTTCCCCGTCTCCTCAGGAGCTGGGCCCTTGGTCCCGGCTTCACTCCTGTTCTGTGCTCTCTGAGTGTTGGGCACCATTCCCTGTTCCATGCGTCTCCCAGCTGCTTAGGGTGCCCGCCCTTCCATCTATCATCCCTTTCTCCCTTTCACCGACTTTCCTCCTTCTTTCTCTGTTTTCTCCACTCTCTGTAAGGCTCTTCCCTCCTGCCTCTGGGTCCATCTGTGTGAGCCTCAAACACCTCCACACGTGTATGGTCAGCTTTCCATTGCTGTGCCGAACAGGAGCGATGATCACCTGGAAGGAGAACTTCACACTGGCTAGTGGTGTCAGAGGCCTCAGTCCACGGCTGTTTGGTCTTTGGCTTCGGGCCTCCATTTAGGGGAGACTGAGTGGCTCAGGAGGCCTCTGGACCTCATGGTGTCTGGAAAGTAAAGAGAGAGAGAAGAGGGCCAGGGAACGCCCAGCCACCTAACTTCCCTCCACTAGGGCCACTCCTATAGGGCTCACTGCCTCCCCAGCTCAGGGCTGATCCCTAGTCAGCTGGCTGTCCATTTCTCCCCACCCCCTTCTTCTGCCACTCCTCCATCCCTCCGAAGAGTTGTACAGAGCGGCTTGGCTTCCTGTGGAAAGGGAAGCAGCCACCCCTTGTCCTCCACTCCACCCTGCTGCAGTCAGACACCTCCCAGCAGGGAGTCTGAGGCCCGGAGCCAATGCCCAGGTTCCTGCTAGGCCTGTGGCAGACACAGCATGTCCCGCTCCCACACCAGCTCGGACAGTGCTGCCCTACAGAGCATGGGACTGGTGGAGCCTCTCCTGGGCTCAGGTAGAAAAGGCACGCGTTTGTCTTTGGCAGCAAGAGAGCACAGACATCTTTTAAAGAAAGTCATCCGCTATGTGTCAGAATAGTGGAGCCAGTTAATATTTTATTATTGTTTAACTCCAGGGATGGGGGTGGAGCAGGGAGTTACTTTCCATGTTCAAGACAAACGCAGTCCTGAGGCTTGCAGTTTTATGGTAGCACTGGTTGCCAGAGTTCCTTTTCCTTCTGACTCTAGAGGGAAAAAATAAAAAATTAATTACCTACTTACAGATCAATTGCATCTTCCACTGCACAGAACAGGCTGCTGCTAGGGTGGGAAGCCTTTGAGCCAGGTCGCCTTCCTAGGGATCTTGTGAGGAAGGCCTCAGACTAGGCGGCCCTTACCCCGCTCCTCCAGGACAGGGGTTCCAGCCCATGCAGCTGAGACACCCTCCCCAAATCAGTTCAGAGCCAAAGGGTATCAATCAGTGCCCTGAGAGTGACATATTTCCTTGGGTCTTCTCTGTATTTGGTTTCCTTTGGAATCTGGGTCTCATGGGACATATGCTGGACCTTTTATAGATGAAGCTTTGGGATGACACCTTGGGAGAGTGGGGAAAGCTGGAAGAGGAAACGGGAAGAGGTCAATGTGGGTGTGGTGTGCGTGTGCAGGAGGCAACCGAAAGGAATGCAGGGGTGAAGGACAGAAGTGGGGTGAGACGTATGGCTGCAGTAGAATTAAACTTGGGGATCTGGTATGTTGGGTGGGATGGGCTCTGGGATGACAGCTGGGGACTTTTTATATCTATAGTAACGCTTGTCAGTCCGTAGAAGTGTCTATCTCTGCATCTGATCCCAGCTTGCCTTTCTCCTTTCCTTCCTGCATCAGCAAATCTTTCTGAGCACATGCTGCCAGCCAGCTCGTGGCATGAGCTCCTCTCTGCTCTCTGCTGTCAGGGAACCTGGCAATTGTACTCCTGGAATCCAATGTCGCTCCACAGGCCGATGGACGCTGAAACCCGGGAGGCCCACTGGAGAGGTGCGTATGCACCCACATCACTGTGGAGGGCCACAGTGGAATGCCAGGAGGGCCTTAGAGAAGGCAGAACAGCACAGCTGCAGCCCTGCCAAAACCTACCCTTAAGCAGGAGAAAAATGATCTAAAACATCAGAGCAGAGTGGCCCTTCAAAGTAATGAGCTTCCTGTGCGAGGGCCAGGCAAGCAGGACAGGCTGCTGTGGTGCAGGGGAGGTGGCCCACTCAATGCCAATGTCCTTTCTAAGTTCTTATTCTGTGATTCTTTGAAACATGGAACAACTTTATTTTTAAATCCACAGTCATTTATTTTTAGCTTGGGGCTCATTTTGCAAATGCTTTTTAACAGAGTTGGAGGGGGAGGGTGTTCCAAAGACCTTCCCATTTTTGCAGCCTCTAAAACCTTTCCAGAGCAGGTTTTCACCCTCAAGCTCTAGGTTCTGGGCTGTAGGGAAACTTCTTGTGCTTTAGTGAAAGCCCACAGCCTTCCTTGTCTCTGGATCACTGCTTATTTTTAAGAGATGTTCCTGAGGTCTTAATTCTTATTTCCTTCTCTCGGTTTACAGAGACAGGAATTAAAGGCCAGTGGGTGCACTGCAACCAGCGTGGTAGAACCTGTCCCTGGGAAAGATGCTTGGGTCAGAGGGGAAGCTCAGATTACCTGGATAATGGGTGTCGCCTGAGCACGTGGTGTTGGTGCCCTGCATTTTAGTCTACTGGAAGTCAGCTGAGCCAGTTTGTGGCCACTCTGGACCAAGCCCAAGTACCCTGGGCTGTCCCAGGTTAGCCATACCTGTGAATCTGATCTTTGGCCATCCTGGGGACCTGGAGGGAGGGTGGTAAGGTGGGAAACACCACCAGCTCTAGCCAGCTGTGGTTTAGGTGGGCAACATCTCCAGGCCAGTGGCTGGGAGTGGGCCAGCACCTCCTTGCAGACTACACACGGCTGCCACCTCCTGGAACTTGCTGTCACTCTTCTGTGAACAGCTCCACAGAGAGGGAGACACTAGGGGACAGGACAGGCGGGTGCAGCTGGGTGTCACTGCGTGCTACTGGAAGGGCTGAGCTGGAGGAGGTTGTAGCTCTGGGTGACGAGGGGCTTGTGCTGTCTCAGCCTTGCATCGGTAGAGGCCAAGATGGACTTATCACCTCCTTTGCACCTCATACGCAGTGTTCCTAAAACAACTGGATTTTTCCAGCAATCCTTTTTCTGGCTCTCAGAGTTGGAGCGCTATTTCAGGGTGCTCAGAAGGGCCCTGCTGCACATCCCTGACATAGGCACCTCCTATGGCAAAGGAGGGTAACCCAGAGACACGGGCCTTTCTGAAGGCTCTAGACCCAAAGGGCAATAAGTAGGAACAGCAGGTCACTGTGCCCAACTCCTGTCTCCAAAAGTGCAGCCCTATTAGTGTTCTTCCTGGGAAGATCAGCTGTTGGCCAGCATCCTGAGATGGTGTCTACTTGCCCTGGCTGGCAGGTACAAAACATGCTCCAGAAGGAATTCCATCCTGCTGGGCCTTTGTTGTGTCTCTGAGGGGCACAACAAAGGGGCATAGATGCCCCTTCTAGTCCTGCATGCTGCGACTTGATTGGAACCTTGACAGTCAAGCTCTTGGTGCAATTCTGTTTGACTTTTGTCCATTTATCACCTTCTGTCAATGCCCCTGGGGCCCCAGAGTAATCATAGTCTGCACCAAAATTCAAGTGGTGTTTCCCAAACCCACAGGTGATGGGAGTCCCTAAAATGCCAAGAGACTTATTTGCAAGTGGATGGTAGAGACCACAAGTGATCTTGCTACCTCTGCTGAGCACGCCCCCAGCTCTGTTATTTGAACTTGGTCCACATTCACCTGGGCCCTAGCATCCAGGGAGTTAGTGCCACACAAAGCCTTTGCCAGGAAGGTTGGCAAAGGGCTGCTTGACCCTTCTTGCTGCTGCAGGCAGTGGTCAGGGGTGGAAGGGCTCTGCTGGCCTGACTGGAAAGATAGGCTGAGGCCTGACAGGCATGATTTTTGTAGCAGTGGGGTTTCATGTGCCATAAAAGAAAGGGCTACATCATGGGGTACCTGCTGACCACCGGTCAGGAAGGGCCAGATGTATCTGAGGACCTGAATCTTCCTCAGATGCTGGGGTACTGAAGCTGAAAGGTGCCGAGGTACATGCAGAGGTTACCAAATTCAGCTCTGGTAGGAGATCTGTCGAGCAGAGCTGTTGTCCTGGAGATGCTGTCCTCTCCAGGGAACCACGATGTGCATTTATTTTATCATGGAGCCCAGCACAGTGTGTTGCACAGTCCACAGACCAACGCTGTGGTCAGAGGCAGTGAGCTTCTGCTCTGCTATTTTGCTTTGTGACTTAGATCCTGTGTTTTCCCCCTATTTTACATGCTGAGGAGCTGTAGAATTAATTAAGTCACATCACCAAGACAGCTGAGAAGCCCCTATGTTGAAAATCTTTCTGTCTTGAGGCAGTGAGCTAGGGGCTGCTGCGTTCTTCACACAGGTTGACTGGCATCTGGACAGTGAGCCCACAGTCCTTTGGAGTTGTGGCTCCTTCAGAGCAGTGTGGATGACACTGCACTGGCACTGGGCTCCTCCCTTTTGTGACCAGAACCTGCATGCATGCCACAGCCTGTCCAGATCAGGACAGCCACCTGGAGACACAGACTACAGTGCTGTTCACTTAGCTTCTCAGAGATTTGTAACTTAGCTCTTGACATCGCTGGCCCTCTGCTGTGGCACCTGAGAAAGTGGACACAGGAAATCAGAGACTGTGTCACAGGTCAGGTGTTCAAATTGTGGGAGGGATGGACTTCCTGGCAGAAAAGCCCCTACTTAGCTTGGGCTCAAAGCAGCCACCAGCAAAAGGCAGTCAGAGCGAACTGGCCCTTTATCCCCAGGGCTGAGCTCATTCCTGGTGCAGGCTCTAGCCGCAGGGCTCCTCTGCCAAGTCCCTTGGCCTCCCTCCGCTGCTGTGGAATCCGAGCGGGACCGTCACTCGCCCAGCTGTTAGGAATCATGTTGAGGATGAAAACAATTAAGCTGGGCAGAGAGCCCGCCCCAAATCCTGACCTCATCTTTGCACCCTCTGTCCACTATTCTGCTCTCTTTCCTGGTCACCTCTTCTACCCATCCAATCAGCCTGGACGAGCACACTGGCCAGCAGCTTGCTAGCTCCAAACACATGGAGCTGCAGTGGAGTGGAAGACCCTGGGGCACATGGAAGGGATCAAGAAGCAGCTCTCCCAGGAAGCCCGGCCATCTGTGTGACACCACCTGATAGCAACCTTTCCTGTACGTCCCCCTGGCTCTCTGTGTGGCAAACTCCCAGAACTGAGGTTACAGATGTGGAAACTGAGGCATGGTTGAGGAGAGTTGTAAGCAGCTTGGTCACACACCCAGGCTGCCTGAGACTTTCAGTCCAGCTCAGGCCCACACACCAAAGGGAGCTGGGTGAAGGGTGATGGTGTGACTGCCTCTTTCAGTTCCATACCACTCCTGAACTCCTCCAAATATCTATGTCCCTGCCCCTGGCCCTGGGCTTTAGTTCTTCACCTCATGTCCCTGCGATCTAAATCTGTGGCTGGCACACAGCGGTGCTCAGCAGATTTGCTTCATCTGACCAGTGATGGTGCCTGCTTTCTGCCAGCATCACTGGGGTGGGGGCTTCTGGTCTCCCCACAGCACCTCCTGCTCCAGCTCCAGAGTGGGGGTGCTAGGGCTGGGACCTGGGCAGTGAGTGCAGGCCATCTCCCACTGGCCAGCTCCCTGCCTCTGCACCACATGCTGCCCGAGTCCAGCTGTTGCTTGCCACACATGCCCTGCTCTCCTTCTGTTCAGGTGTTCCTGTTCCTGCTTCATCTGGCCACTCACCTTCAGTGTCAAAGTATAGGTCTCAAAGTCTAAGGTGGCTGACTTTAGACACCCACAAGGGAGAGGAAGGTCAGTCCTAGGGAGCAGGTGACAGAGAGGACTTCAGGGTGCACAGAGGATGCCTGGGAAACCCAGCTCGGCGGGCCGTACCCAGAACTCCCCTGGTCACTCCCGAGGCCCACTCTGAGTGTTGGGGTGGATGACAGGAGTGCAGGGAAACTGGAAAAGTATCGAATTTTACCTCATAAATATGTACAACTATTATATGTTAATCCAAACCTTTAAAAAATGTTTCAGGACACAGAAATATTAAATATCCTGATTTGGTCATTACACGTTGTATACTGGGGCTCAGAAATTGCAGTTAAAATAATAGTTAATAAATATTTTGAAAAGGAAGAAAGGCATCCCACAGTGAATTTCTTCTCAGCATATCACCTTACCAAGGCAACAATTCCACCCCTCGAGGGTGGCTGTGCTCCACCCACCTTCCAGCTGCTTGGGTGTGGCTGGGGATAGGAGACTGGGCTGTTCGGACAGATGATTTCAATTTAAGGCAACATTTGGAAGAATATTGTTCCACTTTCTCATTTTTCTTAGTCCTCCCCCACCCTTGAAACGTGATTCGATCAGTGGCGGATGAGAAAGGCCTGTTTCCATAACAGCACCACTGTGAGAAGGAAAAATCAGAATTTGAAGCAGCCTTGGATTTATCTGGAAGAAGCAGTGGGTGGGGAAAGAGATGGAGGCCTGGCAAACACAGACATCTCAGAAGCAGCCAGATGCCTCCTTCCATCCCAGGCCGGCACTTCAGAACCCACGAGAGTCAAAGATCAGGGGTCAGCGTGGAAGATCCTCATATCTGGGGCACCTCCTCGCTCCATTTCTGATTTCTGTTTAGCTGGATCTTTCAAGGCACAAGCCCTACTGCACTGATGTCACCCAGTGATCAGGATCTTTCCCTTTCTTGTCAATTTTTCCTGTGTAGTTGAACATGTTAAAGTGCACTTTCCTGTCCCCTCTAAAATCTCCAAAGTAGAATATGATCACCATATCATCCTCCAACACCAATGAGCATGAGTCCAACTGTCCAGATAGGCTGATACAAAACTTGGCCTTGACACTGTTCATGGTCAAAGATTTCATCCAAAAGGAGGAGATCTTTGGGAAATAGCAAGAGTTTAAGCTCAGCCTCTACACCCATTTGGAGTTGCTGCAGTTGGGTTTCTACTGAGAAACTACAGGCTGGACTTGATGTCCCAGCTCTCAGCTGGCATAAGATATTTAGGGAAGCTGCTTGTGGGAGGCATGGTTTCTTAGATGGTGCATTGCCCTGAAGATCTCCAGTTCTGAGTGTGAGGATTTGGGGTAGATGGACACTTTTTGCTGAGGCTCTCAAACTGCTGGTGTCCTTGGAGATCTATATACTAGACTAGCTCTGGGCCTGGCCAGAGCTAATGGTCCAGAGTTTGGAAAAATCCCCAGTGCAATCTCCTCATCCAAAGGTTCTGCCCTTTGCTCAGAACCCCACTGTGCCTTTTAAAGGAGACTGGATCCATATGTTTCTAATTCATTTACACTTAACTCATCAGCACACTCCTTTTTATGAGTGATGTGCTATTTGGAGATGTCTTTGTAAGCTTGTTTATAAGAAACCCTTAGAAACAAGGGGCCATGCCTCATCAAGGCATGTGTTAGGGATGGCAGGGAAGACTCCTTCTGATTTTGGGTTTGAGTCCTGTTTTGGTTCACAAGATGAAACGTGAGGTTTCTGCAGAACTGCGTAGTTTAAGTGTCATATCCTGTGAGCACAAGCCTAAGGAAATAAAAAGTCTGTGCAGATCTGACTCTCATTGAATGCTGGATTTGTGAATACCAAGGTGATAGATACTGTAGGACTTGCACTGGAAAAGATCACAGACACGGGAGAATATGAACAGCTAACTGCATGAAGCTAGCATGTAGGGGAAAGCATGGTGCAGAGGGAGGAAAGGTGAGCAGTGCAATCTGGGAAGACTCACTGGGCAGAAAGAGAAACATTTGGCCTGAGCTTTGGAGTCCAGCTTGGACTTCCAGATACATGTAGGCAAAGCTTGTAGACCAACAGAACAACAACCCGGCACAGTATGCAAGGCGGACATGCACAGAGTGTATTTTATGAGCATCAAACAGACCAGTGTGGTCATATCACAGAGTCTTGGGGGAAATCATAGTGAGAATTAGGGCCAGAAACATAAACTTGAGAAAGAATTAAGATCTTTTTCTGTATGCAATGGGAACTAATATATATTTTTAACCATGGAATGACTTTATTAGAACAATGATTAAAAAATGAGAGCTCAGGTTATAGTGTAATTGAGGCTTTATTGAATAATTTCCGTGTTCAAGCAAGTGTTCTAATTCACTCACAAGAATAAATCCATTTCATTGTCATTTCAATCCATGAGGTAAAGACAATTTCCATGTCTATCACATAGGAGTAAAATGGAGAACAGATAGGGAACCTGATCTGTTCAAGCAGTCAGCAATCCATAGAACTATGATTCAGATCTCGCTTTGGGTCCCAGGAGCTGTGCTCTTAACACTTAACACTCTCATGGGGAAGAAGCAAGAAGCAAGCAGCACAGGAGGAAGGTATTTCAGGATCCAGGAAGAGATTCTGAGGGTCACACTGAGCAGTGAGTGAGAGACAGACCTATGCACAGACGCAGTGAAGCCCTGTCCCCTGCTGGCTGTGGGAGTGTGGGGAGGAACAGGGAGCAGAGAAGTCTTTGTATCTTGGGATTTGAACCACAGAAGGCAAAACAAGTTTTGTGGCGGTGGTGAACAGTTCAGACTTGCAGATCATGGTTTTGTATGAAAATACTCTGCTAGAAATTGGAAGCCTGGGATGGATAAAGTTTGAAGCTTCAGATACTGAAACAAAATAGGGATCGTTGGAGCCAGAGCAGTTCAGAGCATCAGAAAGCCAAGGTCTCTTTGAAGCCACGGAGAATAACTTATCATCTATTACCATTTTGCTTTCTTATTATTTAAAGTACAGAATTTGGTTGTTAATTTGAGACAGCCCTTCTTTTTCAAATGTTTGCAGCTATGAATTTCTCTCAGCACCACTTTCTCTGTGTCCCATAAGTATTGGTATTGTTGTCTGCATTTGTTTTGGGGATTTTCTAATTTCCCCTGTGACTTCCTCTTTCACCCATTAGTTAATGGTATGTTGTTAAAATTCCACCTTCCAGGGGGAGAACCAGCAGTGTCTCCTGAGATCCACGCCATGTTGAAACTTAGGACTCTGGGAAGCCAAGCAAGCACCTCCCCTCCCTGGTAAGCAGAGGCAGTGTGGCAGACTGCAGCCCTTCCAGGGGGAGAACCAGCAGCAGCTCCTGAGATCCATACCGTTGGAACTGAGGACGCTGTGAAGCCAAATGACCATCCTGCCTCCCTGCTAAGCAATAGTGAACCTACTGCTACATGGCCTAGAGTCAAATATCCCACTTCCCGTATCCTCCTTCTCCCCCCGCCCCACCCAGCCCACTAGCAAATGGGATCCAGAAATCTGAGCGTCTCCTGGGAGGTTGACCATAGCAAATAAGGGGGACTTCCTTCTACCATTTCTTTGAAGGCAAATATTTTTATTACTGTTTTGCTCTTTTCTGATTAATGGTACTGCTCTATTCAATATTCTGTTTTGATAAGTTCTATAGTGTTCTATCTTTCATCTCATTTTGATATACGTGATTGAAAGAACAACTATTACAAAGATAACAAAATATACTGTGATACCTATTACTGTTATCCCGGTAACCTGCTGTGAAGTTCTGTACCAATTTCACTGTACGATCTTAGTTGGCTTTATTCTGACTTGTTCTGTTGTATACTTTCAAAATAAAATTTAAAAAAAGAAGAAAAAATAAAATTCCACATATTAGGGGCAGGGATTTACCTTAGTGGTGCAGCTCCTGCCCTGACAAATGTGAGGTCCTGAGTTCAATTCCTGGTATCAAAAAAGTAAAGTAAACAGTAAAATAAATTCCACATATTTTTAGATTTCCATGTGCTATGGAAAACAAATAACATGTGAGGAAATGACACTGAGGAGGCTTAGGAGACAGTTTATTACACCAGTTGGCCTGAGTGGGATCTCTCCCAAAGAGTCACAGCCTTGCCTGGGATGTGTGTGTGGGGGGATGTTGGGTCTTTTATAGGGAGAGCAAGGGGGAAATACAGAGACAGATTTGGTGCATTATGACTGGGTGGGTGACATGACAGGTTGCCAAGAGAGTTTAAACATTTCAAGTTACATTGCAAGGCCATCAGTTAAACAAGCATCAGTTACACACAGGAGGGAATGTTCCATTGTCAGGGTTATCGAGATGTATCTGCTTGGTTTTGGTGGGCACTCTTGGTGAGCTTTCTTGGCAAGCTTTTGTTGAACATTTCTATTTCCCCTTCACATGTATTTGTGGATTTGTAGATTTTGGGGGTTCTGCTATTAGTTTCTACTTTTATTTCACTGTGGTTGGAAAAGATAGTTTATATGACTTTGATCTTTTAAAATTAAGACTTGTTTTGAGACCTCACATATATCTATAATGGAGAATACTCCATGCGTACTTGATAAAATGGTGCATTCTGCATATGTCTAAGAGGTCCAGTTGATTTGGATGTTCAAATACTGTTTCCTTTATTATCTTCTGCTTGGTGGTTTACCAATTATTTAAATCCTAGGATAGAAATCTACTAGATTGTAGAACTGTTTCTTCATATCTGTCAAAATTTATTTTGTGTATTTTGGAGCTCTGGTACATATATGTTTATATTTGCTGCATCTTCTTAGTTGATTGATCCTTGTAGGAATATATAATGTCTGTTATCTCTCATAGAGTTTTTAACTTAAAATGTATTTTGTTGGTATTAATATAATAGCCTCAGATTCCTTTTGGTTGCTGTTTGCATGAAGATCTTTAACCTTACATTCACTTTCAACCTATGTGTGTCCTTAGATTTAATGGGAGTTTCTACTAGGCAGCATATAGTTGGGTCATGATTTTTGAAAGTTTTCCAGTCTAATACTTTGTGTGTCACCCTCCATTATCATTTTTATGACTCCTTAATAGCCTCTGACTGCTTGACTGTCCTTACCATACCAACAAAAAGGCAGACAAGAGAATCAAAGGCTCTATGTTCATAGGTTGTAAGCAAATGACTTTCTCCCACAAGTAGTATACATGTGACAAGTTATAAAGAATGAGCATATATAAGCAAAGGCCTTGGAAAGGCCAGTTCTACCATATCAACCACTATTCCAAGACATCAAATAAATCTGTCCTTGTATAATACTATCTTGGGCCTAGAGGTTATGGTACCATGGTGGGTTCTAATGCATGTCTTGTTCTGTGAAAACACTAATTGCATGAGCTTGTGTTGCTCTGAAAGTAGAGACTGGCATAGGAACACTGGAGCAGGTGCTTTATTTTTGAGGTGATTCCAAGTTGCAGAAATGAATGATGAGAGGGAGAACAGTCTACTGTAAGATTCCATTGATGCTGCTACTGTGGACCTTGCAAACTCAATTCTGCAGGAGTTGCTGAGATGTGTACACAGTTATCAAATACTAGGAATTTCTAGTGGGAAGGACAGGAATTCAGAGGATCTATTCAATGTGAAAGTTTCCCCTGGAGGACATTAGTTAGTCTCTGGCTCTTTAAATTGCACACGTTCCTGGGCACAGTGAGTTATTGTCTATTGGTGAGGTATTTACAGCAGATAAGGTAGTGGTATTCTCTGTCATTGGTCAAAGTTATGCTTGACCTGGCTGTAATGGTCTGTGGTAGGTTGGAACGCTGATGTGTTGGGTAGTATCAAAGCTGTTCACAGCCTGACAGTCATTCTACATCCTCATAAATACAGATGTGGTGCTCTACCATACAGAACCCCATCGTGTAAATGAAGACTCCCACTTGTCTTTTTCCATCTTTCTCTTCTCTTCCTTTCCCTGTCACATTTCATTCTTTTAAAAAATCTCAACACAATAATAATGAGGAAGTGAATCCCATACTTTTCCAAGCAACTGCCATTATGAAAAGGAGCTCTTTGTTTTCCTGATTTATCAATCCTAGAGGAAAATCTTTAGCAGATTCTCTGACTTTTCAGGGTAACTCCTTATATGTTGAGAAATCAAGGGACCAGGGATCCCCCGAAGCTATGGATTGACTAGAGGACTGCAGTGGTTTGCACTGCTTCTCTGTGGGGCTGCTGTGTGCAGGGGGTACCCAGAGCCCTGTGCATGTCACGCAGCCTTTCATTGACTTTTTCCCCAGGGATTCCTTTTGGCTGAACAGCAAGCTCTCTGGGCTCTGCGACAAGAGAACATCTCTAACATAACATAAATGCTGGGCAGCTGCTGGAACCTGGAGATGGCTCAGCACAAGCAGCTGTGTGAGGTTTTTGACCTTGGAGAAAGCAACACCAAATCCCACGGCCATGGGCTGGTTTCCCTTTGGACTTAGTGCAAATGAGGCTTAATGATAATTAAACAGAAACACGTGGAGGTGAAGGATACTAAAAATGCGTTCCTTGTGAAGTAAAGAGGGGACACAGAAAGAAATTTTATGCTGACAGCAGAGAAAACTTTTTCTAGAATCATGAGAGATACAATGACTGTGAATTGTTAGCTTGAGAGACAACTCTCGTTTCTACTTTTTGTGATTCAATCCTGCTTATGCACACTTGTTGCCATGAACACCACCTTTTCCACCACCTCCACAGAACACAAAAGCACCTATGACTATAAGAAAGGACCCGAGAGTGGACACTGGATAGAGTAGGAGATGACTGCTCAAGGGGGATGTGAGTGGCCAACATCTCCACTAAGGGGCTCTAGGTAAGGTCGGCAGATTTTGTGTATCTTGGGAGAAGATCTTTTTTATGGTCACTTGGGAGAATAATCTTTTGTAAGATCACTTGGAGTTCCCTAAAAACTGCTTATATCACTAGAATAAAAGGAATAACAACAACAAAAACAGAAAAGAAAACTATGTGAAAACATTAATCATAGAAAGTTGGAAAGGCAAAGACATTTGTGGCTATGGAAAATTGGAAATAAATTTTGCTTGCTTTCCCTAAGCAATGCCAGCTGTGGGTCTGCACCCTCAAAGCAAAACAGAGTGTACAGGAGAAGAGGGGAGACAAGGATCTCCCAAAGGCTTTGTGTGTGTCTGGGTTAAGACACTTATATTCTATACTTTCCTGTTCCTCAAATCACTGCTTCAGTGTGGGGCTTAGAGAATGACACAGTAAGTGCTGTTCATAGTTCAGTGACCCAAAGTCAGCTAGGATGAAGCAAATCTACATTATGCCCACTCTTCTCATTGAATTTGAATTCTGGGATCTTACTAAGCTTTCCCATTGTGTTTAAACACCATTTCTAAGAGAGTTTATCCCAAAACTTTGAACAATGATGTGTGTGCTTGATGGTATAGATCAGTGCCACACAGTCTGAGCTTTGGGGTCAGATCTGAGATTCCAGCTCCACTGTTTACTACTTGTAGAGTTTGGGGAACTGTTTAGCCTCTTAAAAGCTTGGCTTCCTTAACTATAAAATTTAAGAACCAGTGGAATTTGGGAGATGAAATGAGATGGTACTCAAAGAAAACTCAGCACAGTATGTTACAGAGAAAGCAGTTGATAGCTGCTGGCCGTAAATAATCTCCTCCTCCCCTCCCGCCCCTCTCCCCTCCCTCCCCCTCCCCCTCCTCTTCTTCCTCCTCCCCCTACCCTTCCTCTTCCTTCTCCTCCTCCTCCTCCTCCTCTCTTCCTCTTCCTCCTCGTCTTCTTCTTTCCCTTTCCACCACAGACATAGAAACACTGTGGCCTTCTGCAAGTGTTTTATAAATAAAGTTTTATTGGAACACAGTCCATCCATTTGTTAGTGTATTTTCTGTGGTAGCTTTAACAGGAAAGAGATGAGCAGTTCTAACACAGAGAGTATGAGCCACAAAGCTAAAAATACTTACTCTCTGGTTTGGGCTCGTACCATAAAAAGCACACATCAGTGTCCAGAGCTATGAGGGTAAATTCTCTTAGAAACTATTTTTATTTTTATTTATTTTTTTGGTACCAGGGATCGAACTCACAACCTCACACTTGCCAGGCAGGCGCTTATGCAGCTGAACTAAATCCCCAGCCTTAGAAATTATTTTTAATTGCAATAGGAAAGCTTAGTAAAATCTCAGAATTGATATTTTATAAGAAAAGTGGAAATAACATAAAACTTTGTTGATATCTGCTCTAGAATTTAAAAAAATGTAGAGAGAAATTTGTGCTTTTTTGGGGTTTAAATTACCATTACATCACAGCTTTGATGGAAAGAAACTAGAGAAAGAGTTCAGATGAAACTTTCAAGAAACGGAATCTATGTTTTCATCAAGGATTTTGCAACACACCTAGAGGCAGAGAAGAGCAAACGGGAAGAAAGGAGCTGTTATTAAACCAAACATGTTACTCAGAGAAAGGGCAGTGGGGACTTTTTGATTTTTGAAAAATCACAGGGGCAAGTAAAAAAAAGCTTAATGAGTAGGAAACAATTACTCCCCATAATTTTTATTGTGACTTATGTATTTTTGTTAAAATAGAAATTTCTGTTTCCAAGTCTAGAGACATAATCTGGAAAACCTCACAGAACATTTATAACAGGAAAGTATTTGCACAGAATAACAGATATGATATCTCTTATTGTGAATTTTCCTTTAAACTTAAAAGTTGATGGGCATGGCAGTCATCACTATAATTCCAGTGGCCTTGGAGGCTGAGGCAGGAGGATCACAAGTTTGAACCCATGTTGGGCGACATTGTGACTTAGTGAGATTTTTGACTCAAAATAAAAAGTAAGAGGGCTGGGGATGTAGCCTGGTGTGACGGTCCTGGGGTCAACCCCCAGCTCCACATAAACAATAAAACCACAGAACAAAAACCTGAAACTTAGCATAGCCAAATGCAGAGTATGGTAGAATTACTGGTCTTGCATTCTAAAATTATCTTTTTAGATTTATAGTGCTGAACATAGTCTTAAAACTCTCTTGGAAAAAAAGGAGTGACTTGAGTTGTTAGCAACAAACTGGAAAGAAAATAAAAACATCCTAGTCCTCTAGGAGGCTGAGGCAGGAGGATGCCAAGGTCAAGCTCAGCCTGGGAAATATAATGAGACCTTATCTCAAAACAAAAAATAAAAAAGCACAGGGGCTGTGACTCACTGTGGAAATTCTGAGTTCAAACTCTAGTATTAGAAAAGTAAAAGCCAATTAAACAGTGATAACAAAAAACACAATACTTTAAAGGTTAGGTAGAAATGGGTTGGGGCAGTTTATCCAGGAGGGCAGAGAGATAGGATTTGCCCACAGGAAGCTCAAAAGCATTGAAAGAACCAGGAAGGATCCCCAGGACTGGCATGGAGCCCCAGCATCATTGTGGTCAGCTGCGGTCAACGGCCACTCTTCCCTCCGTCTGAGCAGTTCCATGAGAACCATGCCCAGACCTCCCTGTCTCGAGGGACTCACAGGCCCCAGGGACAGTGCCACCTGAACTTCTTGTTTCTGCAGGGCATGAGTGGCCAGTGGTACCCTGAAACTTTTCCCTCATCTCTCTTGGGGCTGTGAGCAGTTCAGGGCGGACATTAGCTCCAGGTCTCCCCCAAACTAAGCCTGAGGTGGGGCTGAAAATCAGCACAGCTCTTCAGGGCCTCACCCTGCAGTCCCTGCCGCCTGTCCCTCCCCACGTGGCAACATTCGGGAACAACATGCAGCAGGTCCCTGGGCTAGAGGTGCTCCTCCCCATCTGCCTTTGTTCCTGGCCCCTAAATGAACAACCAACACTAATGCCTGTACCCCACACCAGCTCCTGCTGCCCAGAAACAGCTCCTGCTGTTTTGTAGATTTGAGGACAAAAAATGTAAACATTTCAATAATAATATATTTTTAAAGGCACAAGGGGGCTAGGTCTGTAAAACAGCTCACCTCTCATCATCTGCAGAAGAAATCTAATAAGTTTTGGGGTTCACTGGGGAGCCAGAGTATATTTCATTTTATGAGAGGATTAAGTTTTTACTGAATTACATCTTTATTCAAGGTGCTGCTTGTGTTTATCTACTAAAATTAGAAATTTAACTCGGTGATTTTTGGGCTAGTGAAAGGTAAGCCACCATAAAAAGTCCTTTGATGAATCAGTTCTTTTAGCTATGACCCTCTTAGGGCTTGAAGACTGCTGGGCAGAGGTTACCCCCGAAGATGAGGTTGGTGGCAGCTGCTGGCCAAGGCTCTAAGTGACCAAGTTAAGTGTCCTCTGGGACCGCGATTGGCCCAAGGGCAGGGGAACGAACAGCGGAAGGAGTCACAGCGAAACCAGGTTTGATGTAGTTGTGCCACTAGTATTTGAGGTTCCTAAATCTCGCTGGGCTTTAATTTAATTATCTATAAAAATCAAGGGAAAGGATTATTGGTGATTCTAACATACCAATCTGATGTTAAGCTAGTGACTCAAACTTCCTCAGGGATGTTGTTAAAAGTGCACATTTCTTGGCCTAAATCTGGGATCAACGTAACTGTCATGTTCATCAGAAGGGAACCAGTTAAATAAATTATGATACAGCCAGGCATAAGTGCCCCTAAAAACAGTGGATACGTAGCACTGTTGTGTAGATGGCTCTCTAAGGACTTTCACTAATTGAAAAAGCAAAGTGCACAGTAAATTCTTGAATAAGTGAATCTCTCTCTCTCTCTCTCTCTCTCTCTCTCTCTCTCTTTCTCTCTCTCTCTGTCTCTCTCTCACTGGGACCGACTTTTTCAGCTTTTGTTTACTAAAGATTGCAAGTGAAACTGTGAACAGTGTTTCTTTTTGTAAAGTCTGACAGCTACACGTAGGCTACTTAAACAACAGTTCACCCCACCTGTTCTGATGCCTTTTTCTTTGGTGTCCTTTAGCATTTATCTCCTCCTGTGTTACAAGGAGGGGACACAGTTCTCTGGGGAAAGGAACTGAATGGGCAGGAGGTAGACCTGGGTGTGGATTTACCAGGTGAGCAGCTCTGTGGAGCTTGCTTCTCGGATCTTGGGATCCTCATCTTTTCATGGAGTCACATGATTAGCAATCAAACTGAGTGGTTAGTTTGCACATAGCGTCATGCAGTCTACCCTGGGAAAGACACCCACATGCAGATGTGGAATAATGAACAAAGAGCATATGTGAACCCTCAATAGATTCTTTAAAGACAGAAGATATAAAATCCACCCTTGAGGAACTTTATGACCTGATTAGGGAGACAAATTTGCATGAGCCAATTAGAGGACAGTATACTGCCACATACAAAGGACCCTGGATCACCCTTATTCTTACGTCACACCCTCTCCAAAATGAGTCTCCTGAAATTCAAGAAAATCAGACTCGACAATAAAAGTAAAACCCAGGCCCCTTGACTGTATTTGCATTGATCTGTAAAGTAAAAGGTGAGCCAATGATCGCTAAGTTCTTTGCAGTGATAAAGTTCTCTAATTCTACAATTTCTAAAAGCAGGTCTGCAGTGAAGAACCCTCCCAGCTGAAACCAGATTCCTTCTGATTCAGTGGTGTCTCCATTTCCATTTAAGGACTTGGACGACCCCATACAGTCTCTGTATGCAAAGCTCCCCAAAGATAACCCCAAAGAGAGATCCCTACACGGTGTCAGACCCAGTGTCTGCCCTGGAGAGCCTATTTTGGCACTACCCTGTCTGGATGAGGCTGGGGGAGAGGAGACCTAGCCTGGGGCAGCCAGGTGGCAGTCTAGCCTGCTTCATCACAAAGGCCCCAGTGAGCTTGGGGACCGCACGTAACAGGGGCTCCGGGCAGGTCAGACTTGACGCCTAACTTGACCCCATTGGCAGCTAGAGTCTGATAAAGACGTGATTGAGCTGGGGAATTCTTCCTGACAGCTTAACAGATGGCTATAATTAGGGGCCCGGCTCTGAAAGCATGGAGGAACATAGAGTCCATTGTAGGCAAGCTAAACGCTGTAAATGCCAAGACCAAAATGTGGCGTGAAAGAAGCTCAACATTCTCTACTACGCAGGAGGAGTAAGTCTGCGGGGAAATGTGTTTACTGAGCGTGATCAAGCAGACTCATTTCCTGTTTCTTCCTCAGACCTCGAGTTTGCATCTATGGCAGATGTTTCTGGTGTGACTTTGATCCCTGTAGCTCTACAATCTAACACCAGAGAGATGGAGTGGGTAAGATCGGCTTCCCAGGCTGGGAGGTTTTATGTAGAAGATCTCAAACTATTCCCCTCCTCTTTGGTTTCCTCCTGGAACCATTCCCTGACTGATAATAATGCTGATGATGACAATGACCAAACATTTTTAGTGTTTAATCCATATTTGTCAGATCTGTTTATGCTTCATTGTCAAAATGATATTAATGAAAGTAGCTTTAAGCCCAGTACAATTTGGGGGGACTTTGTAAAATCTTTTTCTTAGAAATAAGAAGCCACAGTGTGCTATTGATAGTAAGATCCAACTTACAATGATCAAAAAAAAAATACAGTGAGCAATGGTGATAATGGTCTCTTCAGGAAGAACAACAGCTCATTATTAGGACAGAAACTCAGAAAGTCAGCAAGGCTCTGACTAAGTAGGGGTGTTAGTCTGGACTTCAAAATGCTCAGGCCTGTCATAGTAGCTAAGAGTTCAGTTCCTGGTTAAGTTCATGAAGTAGAGGTCTTGAAAGAAATTCATGAATCAAAAAATTAGATAATACCAGGTTCTCAAGGGATTTTTGAGGCTCCAAAGTGCAAAGCTGAAATCCTATCTCTACGTTTCCTACTAAGAAGTTGAACTTCCTCCGCTGTAAGGTTCTGGTGATCAGAAACTCCACCTCTTCTTACAGTCTCCTCTAATTTGGGCCGCCATGAGTTCTAAAACTTTCTCCCTCACGTTGATCTAAAATCTGTTTGTTGTTTTTTCCTACCTCCTACTGATTTTTCCCATTCAATCTCTTGGAGTCAAACAGAACACAGCTAAGTTCTTGTTCTGCATGTATCCAGGACCAGCCACATAATTTGCAGGGCTCGGTTTAAAATAAAAGTGGAACCTCTTATTTGCAATTATTAAGAATTTCAAGATGGTAGCAGCAGAGTATTAAGCCAAGCATGGAACCTTCTAAGTGCGGGGCCCTGTGTGTATAATATGTGTCACATATGTAACTCTTACTTACAACTCTTTTAGTGACCTCCTTGAGTCCAGGAGGTTTTCTGGGTAGGTCACTTTTTGTTTTGGTTTTCAATGACAGGATTTTGTAGAATTCAAAAAGAAAACACATCATCTCCTCTACTTGGTATTAAACTCTTATCAAATTCATGGAGTAGTCTGGTCTTTTCAGATATTAAAGAGTCCATGTAGTCTTTTCTCGGGCTCTGAACTGTGCTTGAGCAAACATTTGCTCTTTTCTGCTGGGCTTGGGAGGCCTGCAGAGACCTGCTTCTCCCCTCAGGCCTTACACTTTCCCTCCCTTTTCCCACTGCCCAGGCCTGGCTGATGGTGAGAAGAGAGTGGTGGGTGGGAACCGCCTTCACACCTGGAGGTGCCCATGTGAGCTGTCTGAGTTGAGGACCCAATGCTGCCTCGTCCCTTTCTCTGGCTTTCTCCTTGCATGGGGACTTCGGTTGCAGCTTCCGGCATCTGTGATACCTCCTTGGTTGGAGGTTTATAGGATTTTCTCAGCCTGTGGCGCTTGGTTCTCCCTCTGCCCCACTGAACTTCATCTCCATTTTTCCCGTGCTGGAATACTGGGGTCATCATCCCACACTGCTCATTTCCAGTGGTCCCTTGGACAATTTCCAAACTGCCTTCTGGCTGGTCTCCTTCTCCGGACTCACATCTGGACCTTAGAGATGAGTGTTCCTGTCCTCCCTCCATCGCAGCTGTCTCTTCATTTGGCCAGCAAAGGCCCCCAAGTATAGCCTCTCTTCTTCAGAATTTCTCCAAAGATGAGTCAGAAACCAGTTCTAGAATGTTCTCTAGCTCCAAGGAACATATGTCAAGCTTGTTGAGAGGTCCTTTGAAGCGCTTCTCAGCTGGCCTGAGTAGTGGAAGATGAGGAGAACATTTCGACATGCAATTGTCTCTTCTTACATTTTTATTGCTATTAGCACATGTCTGCCATATTAACTTCCCACGAGGCAATCCGTATGCACTGCCATTGTCTTTGTGGGGAAATGTCACTGTTTCCTGCACCACAGTCATAGCATCTGGAGTGGATGGTGGACTAAAGTGAAGAGCATAAATTCTTTTATTTAAAAGAGAATAAAACAAAACAGCAGATCAAAGCAGATCAGAACAAAACAACACAAGCAACACAGGATTTCGAAACAAGACAATAGGAAATCAACAGAGGCTACCGTAATGTCTCTTGTTTTCTTCGAAATAGTGGTCCATATCTTCTCTCACCATGAATTCAAACAAAACAAAATAGTATAGAACCGATGAAAACAAATGAATAAAAGCATCACAAGCCTTCAAAACCAGACAATAGGAGAAGCAACAGTGGCTACCATAATGTCTCTTGTTCGCTTTAAAACAGCTGTTCACATCTTCGCACCTACTGAAATAAAATAATAGAAAACATTCAAACCAATCAAAACAAAGAATAAAAGCATTATTGGATTTCAAAACAAGATGACACAAAGTCAAAGAGCATAAATTCTTGGCCTGGCACCATTCTTCAAACCTGTGGGAAGTTGACAGCTTTTGGACCTTGGCAGCAATGCAGACCAGAGACATCTGAGCTCCACAGCCTGGCCCCTGGATGGACTGAGAACAGTTGAGGGTGATCATTGCTGTAAAGTCAAGGTAGAACCTCCAAACTATGACTGTGTTTGGAGATGGGGATTTTCTGAAGATGATTAAGGTAAAAATGAGCTCATAAAGGTGACCTGATAGAATAGCTGTCCTTGTCAGACGAGAGTACTTGGTAGCTGTCTGTCTCTGTGCCTCTTTCTCTCCCCATCCCTCTGTCCTCACCATGCAAGGACACACTGAGTGATATCTCACCTACAAAGAAGGGAACCTTCCTCAGAACCACACTGTCTGGTAACTTCACGATTCCAATCTCAAACAGTGGAAAATAAATCACTGTTTTAAAGCCAACCTCCTATGCTATTTTATGTTGCAGCCCAAGTTGACTAAGACACCTGTGCCTCAGGGTTTGATGACTGCCTTGTTAAATCTGGGTGACTTCCAGGCCTCCGGACTTTCCAGCGGATCAGAACCTGTTTGCTCATCTGTCTGCAGGGGCTCAAGTGTGTGAACCAGTGGAATCCCACCTTCCACGGAGGCCGTCCTCTGCCATATGTGAAAGTGTGTGGAGTCACCTGCCCCTTACAACCTCTTGGCTGCTCATAAAATTGAAGGTATGAGAGAAACACATTGGAGACTGGTTGGTGCATGAACAGAGCCAGGCCAGCTCCTACCAACATGACTTAGATGCTGATTTTCCTTTCTGCTAAGGGCGTAGGGTAGAACTTGGGCAAGTTAAATGTGCTTCTGATGCAACACAATTGTGTCCGACTTCAAGGATGTGCATAGGTCTGAAGGCCCAGCGCCAGGGAGGTCAGATGAGTGCAGAGAGCTTGATCCTCAGCCCCCGGAGCAGAGGGCGCAGCCTGCGAATGCTTCCTGAAAGGGCACTGAGGCTGGTGGTCTAAACCCACCCTGCTGCATCGTTCCTTGTCTCATTTCCTATCTTGTCCATACTATGCATTTGTACATGTGTTGTATAAGCATATATAAGAGTAGGGTGACATTGGAGGAGAACTGGTGAGACTGAACAAAGGTCTGCAAGCTAGCAAATCACACTGTTTCAGTGATCATACATTTACTCCAACATAGTATCAGGTGGTATAAGATGCTAACATAGGAGGATGCTGAGAGAGAATTTTTGCAATCATTCTTTCAAACTAGAAGCTTAAAAATACATGTATTTTAAAATATCTATTTATTTTTGTACTAGGGAGGAGTTCAGGACCTTTGCTACATCCCCAGGATTTTTAAAAAAATATTGATATAAAGACTCACTAGGTTGATAATTTGTCCAGGTTAGAATCAACCTTGTAATCCTCCTGCCTCAGTTTCCCAGAGTTCTGGGATTACAGGTGTGGTCCACCACACCTGGCTAAAGACTACATTTATATTAGTACCTTTTCCGGCCCTAGGAGGAGAGCAGTGAATAGGACTCAGACCCTGCTCTCAAAACTTGTGATGCAATCCTGACCAAATACCATTAACATACCTCACAGATTTAGAGAAAACACACCTAAAATTCATTTGGAGGAGGAGACCTAGAATAGCAAAGGTAATCCAGGCTAACAAAGGCAAAGCAGGAGGTATCACCATTCCTGACTGGTAATTATACTACAAAGCTACTATAATAAAATCAGCATGGCAAACAAAACAAAACAGACCTGATGATCAGTGGAACAGATTAGAAGATGCAGATGCAACTACAAACACACTCAGTCACCTTATCTTTGACAAAGAGGCCAGATGTGTTCACTGGAAGAAAGATAGCTTCTTTAATAAATGGTACTGGAAAAATTAGCTTTCCACATGCCAAAGACTAAAACTAGACCCATATGTATCACCATGCACTAAACTAAAGTCAAAATGGATCAAAGATCTAAATACTAAACAGAGACACTAAATCTACTGGAAAACAAAGTGGGTAGAAAACTTGAAGACATAGAGGTAGGCAGAGATTCATGAACAAAACCCAAAGTGCACATGAAGTACTTCAAAGAATCAACAACTGGAATCTCATCTTATTGACAAGTTTTTCACATCAAAAGAAATGAACAGAGTGAAAAGAAAACCACAGAGTTGTAAAAAAATTTTAACCAACTTTTTCTCAGACAAAAGACTTCTATCTAGAACATGACGAAAAATTGAAAAAGAATCAGCATCCTCCAAATTCGAAGGCTCAGTCCAAAAATGGGCACCTGAGATGAACACACACTTCTCAAATGAAAAATGCAAATGGAAAATAAATATATGAAAAAATGTTCAACATCGCTAGTCATTTGAGAGATACAAAATAAAACAACACTGAGATTCCATTTCAAACCTGAAAGAATGGCTATCACCAAGAAATCAACCAATTTTTAAAAAAAAAGAAAGAAAAAAACCAACCAGTAGCTGGCGGGCTGTGGGGAAAAAGGAACATGTCTCCACTGTTGGTGGGAATGTGAACTGGTACAACCACTGTGGAAACCAGTGTGGGATTAGAGACCCATTTGACCCAGCTATTCTCCTTCTGGGTATTTTGCTGGAAAAATTAAAAACATTGTACCACAGTGTGATATGTGCACTCATGTTTATAGCAGTGCAATTTATAATAGCTAAATCTTGGAATGGAAACAACCAAAATGCCTGTCGACTAAGGAATGGAAAAAAAAAAGACGTATTTTTATGCAATGGAGTACTACTCCGCTATAAAGAAGGATAAACTCAAGGCTTTTATAGGTAAATGGATCATACTCATAAATGAAATAAATCAGACTTGTATGTGTAAACACTGTATTTGTCTTCCTGGTGTAAAAACTGAAAAAATAAATAAGAACCAAAATGTACAACAGATATTGGTGAAAGGAGAAGAAACTTCTCAAAAGGAAAGAAAAACTGGGATGGGGGAAAGGAGAAAAGAAGGAAAAAAAATATATTGGCTAAGAGAATCACACCACTAACTTCTATTAGTTCACTGAAAGGAAAGGTTTGTACTTACATTGTTTGATCGGTTTTTCATGCCTATATCTTGTAATCTGAGCCACTTTTTTTTTTGGTCTTTTTGCAGTACCAGGGATTGAATTCACGACCTTGCACTTGCCAGGCAAGAGCTTATGCCCCTGAGTTATCCCCAGCCTCGCAGCTACTTTGAAGATAACAATATGCAATGCATTAACCATTGTTAATCCTCCATTAGCTTGTTTTGAAATTCTATATCATTGCTTTTATTGTTTTTCCCCCTTTAAAAAAAGCTTGTGATGTGTTGACAGAAGGGCCAGTGGGGACGCACTACTTGTTGGATACCTGCACACACGCAGTGCCACTAGGAGTGTCGCGGCCCAGGGGCCAGAGCAAGGCAGCGCTAGCACAGAAGCTGGGTCCCAGAGCCTGGGAAGGGGCTGCTCTAGGGAACCAGAGCTTGTGGAAGGGACACACGAGGAGCCTGAGCCCCTGTGAGACGAAGCGCGGTGAGGGTGCACAGAAGCGAGCTGGGAGCTGACCCAAGACGGGCTTCCTGCGGCCAGCCAGGGAACAAGCTCGCTCGTTGTGGGTCCTGGTAGTGCACCTGTCAGCAAAGCGCATGCGTCAGGTCTACATCCTGGAGAAAACCAGTCTGGGGCTCCCTTTTTGCAGTCAGCCAGATTATGAGCACCCGAGCAGCAGGACTCTGCGAAGGCTAGGGCCTCTCCTCGCTGGGCACACACGGGCGCGCAGTTAGGCTGTGCCCGAGGAGGGAGTCAGCATCCCCTGTGTCCCCTTTCACTAACTGTGGGTTCCCCAGCTCTCTGCACTGGGGCGTCCAGGTGTGTGGAGCTTTGACTGTCTTCCGCCCCTCTCACATATTGCTATAGATGGGAATTACTGAACGGCTTCAGACCACTTCTCACTGCGATCTGGGCACAGTCGTTCTCCTCACACTCAGCTGGGCTTCAAGTTCAGCTAGCTTTAAAATATTTCACAGTTAGATTATAAACTAGAGAGAGAGAGACAGCCAGAGAGAGAGAGAGAGAGAGAGAGAGAGAGAGAGAGAGAGAGAATTCAAAATCAATTAGGCCTCAAATTATACAATTTTAGGGACAAGTCTATGGGTAATTCTTCATGCTCAGGGCCACCACCATGAATTCTTGTTGTTTGTTTATTATTTATTTATCTATTGAATATATAAATAAATTGAACTCACTCAGCAGCCCAGGCTGGTCTGGAGCTTTGTGGTGATCCTTCTGCCTCGGCCGGTGGAATGCTGGGATTGCAGTGTGCACCCCCACACTGGGCTGCCAAGATGTATTTTGATTATGAATTTTGAAGGTATCTCTCTTTAACTTCTTAGGTCTTACCTCCATCCACCCACAGGGATCTTTCTCCCTCTGATCATTTCATCTTCCCTTGCCAGCCTACCTAATTTTCCAGAACTTTCCATTCGTGACAATTCCACAGGTTCACGGTTGTCTCTCTCTAATAGAGTCCCCATTATGGCTTCCAGCTTTATGCCTTCTGCTGACCCTCAAAAGTGAACACACTTCTCACAGAACAATTTGAGTCCAAGTTTAGGGAAATTATTTAGCTCCAAGAGCCCATGATGCCCTCCTCTTACAGGTGATTTGGGCTTTACCAAGAACAGAAACAACTTCTTAAATCCACTTAAATCTTCAAGAGAAGGTGGGGTGCTGCCCTCCCTCGATCTCAATAATAACAAAGCCTGAGTTGAGTTCTTTAGGGACCAAACCACTCTGAAAGCGAATGCCCCCATGAAAACCCAAGTCCTCATAACCAGGTATTTATCACCCAGGAATATGGCCCACGTTTGTGTTTCCTGGTACTTTGGTCTATTTGAGAAGAACTTGAGGCTGAGTTGCTATGAAATTCTAGGCCAGTTACCTGGAGGAAGAACCACGACAAAAAATGGGCTTTTGCAACAGTCTCCTACGGTGTCAGGGAAGCAGGTGTCTGTTTTCACCCAAAGGAAAAGACGTCAGGTTGGAAGCCCTGGGGCCCTGTATTAACAGCAGGTGAAACCTCTTACATGGGTGTCCCCTGCCCTCCAAGAATTCTTGTTTTGTTAGGTGAAGTATGACACAGACCTTCAGAATTTTCTATCCTGTCTATGTGGCTTGGAAGATCTCGAGTGATGTTTGATATTTAGAGGTGAACAGAATACTGGTCTTAGCAATTTCCTTTGTTCCTTTACTAATATAATCCACAAGGATTTTTACTTGGGTACCAGATATTAAAATGTAAGTAAGATGTGATTGATGTCTCCACGGAGTTTATACCTGTCTTAGTCACTATCACTGCTGGGGCAAAATATCTGACACTTGCATTTTAAAGGAGAAAGGGTTATCTTGGCTCATGGTTTCAGCACACGCCTGGCTCAAATGCAGAAACTGCAGGGTTGGAAGGGTCTGGGTGGAGGAAGACTTCGGCATTTTTATAATAATGACCTATTCCATGTAGTAATATCCTTTTTCTCTTAAGGATACCTTTTCCTCCTGGTCTCACCTAAGATTGGCTTCTTAAGAACTGTTTATAGTGAGAACTTCAAGATCTGCTTTCTGTAATAAGTTACACTTTCTTTTTTGCTCCTCTAAACAATACAATATCTTGACAAGTTCTTAGCAGACACAAAGAACTGAGATGGGTTATTACCTTTGCCTCCTTACCTTCTTTCTGGGCCCATTTTTTTTTCTTCTGATTTTCAACTCCTTCCCAGTCTCTGTCTCTTCCTTCGGCACCAAAACCCTGCCAATATTCTCTAGGAAGCAGCTGAGGAACCAGTCTGATCCAGAGCGCTGCTCCTGGGTTCTGGAAGCAGAGATGCAGAACTCGGCCAGCCAGGCCTTAAACAAGTTGGTTCAGCAGCTCCAGAGAGAATACGCAGCAGGACAGTAACCCTGATGACGCTGTCTCGCTGTCTGCAGAAGCTCCTCAAGAGCTTCACCCACATCAGCTAATCCACTATAGCAAGGAGATAGAATTATATCTCATCTGGCAGTTTATTTTCAAAAGTCATCAGGCCACAAGAATTTCATTTGGGTGGAGTATTTATAATGACCTTTTATCAGGGTCTGATCCCTCATCCCTTCTAGTAAATGAATCTTAACACTGGTGGCAGTATATTTATACTCACTGTCTTTTACAAGCTCTGTATCAGTATAGAGGATTTCACTCTGCAAGAAACAAAAGAACTGTCAGCTGCCGGTGTTGTGAATGCTAGATCCCTCGATGTCAGCTTCCAGATGACATTTGTTCACCATCCTGGAGTTCTACAGGCTCCCTGGAGCCCACAGCCCAAAGGCATGGCACCCTTACTAAGCATTTATTTTCCAGGAAGAAGCTAATATTTGTGTGTGTCTCAGTTACGTCCCTCATTGCTGGGACACAAAACCTGACACCCACAGCTCTCAGAGGAGGACAAGTTGATTTTCGCTCACAGTTGGTAAAAGTTTTAGTCTGCAGTGCACCAGCTCCACGGCTCTCTGGCTGGCGGAGCAGAGGAAAAGGTGCTCACCCTGTGGCAGAGGGGGACAGCAGAGCCCAGAGAGGGAGCAGTCTGGGAGGGGCTGTGCCCTTCCGGGGAACGCCCCCAGCGGCCACCTCTTCTGACCAGACCCCGCCTCCTCACGCAGTCAGCTGTGTTCTCATACCCAAAATGCAGTCACAGAGTGCCCCACTTTTGAGCACACGAGGCTTTGGATGGACACACGCATGCGCACTCCCCCCCCCCATATAAACCATAACACCACTTCCTGGTCCTTGTTTTTAGTCAGTGAGACTGAAGAGGTAAGTAGGTAGAAGTTTCCAGGGTCTCTCACCAAGCGCTCCTGGTGTCTCTGTCACTCACACGACCCTGTCCAGTATTCACAGATCTCGAAGCGCCTTGCTTTATCAATACAATTCCACGGGTGGCTGAGCTGGAGTGAAACTGGGGCCTCTCTTTGTCTCCCTCAAGACTGAGCGGACAGCTGTGGCCTCCCAGCTCCCGGCCCACGAAGCCCAAAGGAGACGTGCTCCTTACACTCCAGCTGGGTGCAGCTCCCCTCTTGCATGACCAGCTAGAACTAGGCACATGATGTCCCCAGCCATAAGTGATAGATCTGGCCCCGTCTGTCCCCACACGCCCTAGTTCCTGTGTTCTGAGAACAATCACAGCCCATTCCTCACCCTGCAGCCCCTGATTTAGCCCGAGATCTGTGCACAGGCCATGACACACCTGCCTCGCCCGCTCCGTCACCACGCCCATGGCTATAGCCAAGTCCTCAGCCGCTGTCACTCTCCCATTCCTCTTACCCCCACCTAGGCCTGCCCCCAGCGCCCCTACCCTATCCATAAAAGACCCAGCTCAGTAACCTGACCCACTTTTGGAGTCACTCCAGAAATTTCCACCTGAAACCCCCAAATTCAGGCTGGCTGCATTCTTTACCTGGTCATCACTGTTTCCCTAACAGTAAGGGTCCAGGAAGGACAATTCTCACAGCGCCAGGGAGGCAGAGAGCCCGCAGCATCCTGCAGAGCGCGCGGTGCTCAGCACTGCCTGGTGTGCTCTGTGTTTCAGGTCCAATCCGTCATCCAGAAGCACTGAATATGTGTGAGTGTGTTGGAAAGTGTTCCTGGCTGACACGCCCTCCCCTTCAGAAGCGCCTATGGCTTCACAGGAGATTCCTGGCACTGTCCTATTGAAGTTCAAGGGAGGGATATTGGCCAATAACTTAAATGGGAGGGAGACTGGAATTTCATGGAGGAAGTAGGACCTGCAATGGATTTGAACATTTGGCATCCTGGCAGTAACAAGCACCAGGGAGGACTTTTGATGCGTGGCTCAGAGTGTCTGAGCTCTTTGCTTCAATGTGTTGATTGATTGTTTACTGTTTATTTATTTATTCATTGAATGTTTACCAAATGCTTGTATATGCCAGGCCCTGGGGATTGTATTATTGATATGTTTCTTCATGGAGCTTGAAGCAGAAGGCACTAAACAAAAAATGAGAGAATGAGAGAGAAGGAGAGAGAGAGAGACAGACTGGGAGAGAGAGAGAAAGAGACAGGGAGAGAGAGAGAGAGAGAGAGAGAGAGAGAGAGAGAGAGAGAGAGAGACTGATAGTGTAGTGGGCGATGAAATATTAACACTGAATAGAGTAGGTAACGGTGTGAGCATGTCCGGGCTGCAGAGGGAGGAGAAACATTACTATTTCATATTTTGGGGAGGGCAGAAAAGCAGTCAAGCAAGCAGACTGTGCAGATCTAAGAGAGGTGTCTAGCACAGGGCACAGCTCTGTAGGCACAGGAGCCCGGGGCCACGTGAGGAAAGCAGAACACCATGCACAGATAGCAGCCTGCACAGATAGCAGCCGGGAGCCGGGGCATCAGGGTTTGCTTTGCAGGCCTGGGGGTGGACATTACAGCGGAGTGACTATGGATCCAAGCCCGACCCTTGCCCACTCCATCTATTACTAGGTGAATGTGGAGGAAACCTGGCAGTCACTGCGGTCTCTGGGGATTAAGGCAGCGGACCCCGCAGAGCACCAAGCCCAGAGGCTCACACGTGGGCAGCCCTCTGGTTCTAGCTACTTCTGGCCTAGCACGGTGCTTCCCCTCTCCAGGATTTAATACTGTCATCCACGGATGGCGAGCTTCGGAGAGCTGGGCTCCTCTCTCACGACTCAAGAAGCCTTCCAGGGAAATCTGAGGCTAGCTGTCCCCCTGCACACCGTGGGCATGTCGCTCTCTCCAGTCCCAGGAAACGCTTCATGGTGTGCTCCTGTCGTGGTCCCTCCCCCATGAATACAGGCCGATCTCTGTGTGGCGAGCAGGCTGCCAGGGAAGGGTCACAAGTCGGGTCACAGCTGATCTTGGGTGCCCATCAGAGATGCCAGTGGAGCATCACACTGCCCTGTGTCACCCCTGATGTTCCCGGGTTGAAATTCTCACCCTGAGGTGGGGACTGGTACTAATACCTTTGGGGGGAGATTAAATCATGAGTGTGGCGCTGTCCCAGCTGTGTGAGGACACGGAGGGAAGAGACGTTCGCCAGGCAGTCTGCTGGGCCCTGCCCTTAGACCCGCAGCGCCAGACCTGACAATGAAGGCCTTGTGCGCTGACTTTTCAGAACTCACAGGACTCTGTAGGCTCCAGCAGTGGGGACCTCCCTCTAGGATTCTTCCTGCAAGGACAGGGTTTCCAATGAAACCCCCACCCACCCTTCTCCACAAACAGCAGGATGCCTGTCTGTGGACTCTGGGAGCAATGGAGCAGCACCGTGCACGGAATAGGAACAGGTGACGGTGAGCCTGGGTGGTGGTGACCCTGCTGGGCGGTGGTGACCCTGGGCGGTGGTGACTATGGGCGGTGGTGACCCTGGGCGATGGTGATCCTGGACAATGCTGCCCCTGGGCAGTGGTGAGCCTGAGCGGTGGTCACCCTGGACGGTGGCCCCCAGAGGACCCAGGTGCTATAGCGCCTGCGTAGGGAAGGGAGGCGTGTGCTGTGGGTCGCGCTCGGGCCTAGGTGTGCGCCGCCGCCGCCCCTCACTGATCCGGGCCGGGAAGGCCCCGAGCGCTCTGGGCCTCGTGTTTGTCCCATGCGAAGCGTGGGGGAGGCCTTGGTTTTGAAGAATTGTGACGCTCAGTCCTTAAGAATTGCAGGGCCCCTTCTTGTGGCCAGGGACGGCGCGCGGACGTGCGGCGGGCGATCGGCCCCCTCGGGTCGGCCCAATGCGCGTGCTGCAGGCCGGGCGGGAGCAGACACGGCGCGGGGCGGGCCCGGGGCAGCGGGAGGGCGACAGCACACAGCGACCCGCGCCTGCCTTCGCGGCCCCCTCTCCCCGCGGTGACCCCCGTCTCCAGGGGGGCGCCCGTGACCTCAGCACTGCAGAGCGAGGCCTCCCGCGCCCGCACCCCGCCTCCCCAGGCCCAGCGCCCCCAGGGCCGGTTCGCCCCAGACGCGCGCGGGGTCCTCGGAGCGCGCGGCCGCTGTCTTCCCGATGCGTGAAGCAACGGCGCCACCTGCTGGCTGCAACGCCTCCGCGCGCCGGTGACATGCGCGACCTCGGGCGCCCCCTTGTGGATGTTTGGAAGACGGGGCGCAGAACCAACTGGGGGAGAGCCCTCGGGCCAAGCCAACCTTGCTGCTCGAGAGGACTTCCCACCGCGGTGACCCAGTGATTCTGCTGGCTGCGCAGAGGAACGGAGCCTGAAAAGCCAGCCGTGCAACGCGTTAGACGCGGAGGCTCAGAGGCACAGATGTATCCAGGGACCAGCCACAAGTGACACACTCCCAGGTTGCTCTGGGTAGCAAATAGAAGAAGTAGCTGCTTAGAGGAGAGCAAAGAACTGTGCAGAGCGGTGGGAAAGAACCGGAGGAAGTGGAAGGAGAGAGAGGAGGTGCTGTTCCGGCCCTCCTCACCTCCCTGGCTGGCTGCAGCCATCTGAAAAGCAGGCTGGAGCTCTTTCACCGGAGGGAATGGCTTCGCATTGCCAGCTCCTCCCGTCTGAACCAGCCAGTCCCCACTCAGCCCCCCAATCCTCCCTCGGCTCCACTGTGTCACTGGCAATCGCTCGAAGAAGCCCCTGGCTGGGGCTCAACCTCGGCTCCTGTGTCAGCCGTGTAAGAATCTCAGTGTCTTGGGAACGTGAGCTCGACTTGAAATAAACTTCCCTGAAAGGCTTATTTTGTTTTGGGACAAGTCTCATACCAATCTGTCCTGCCAAGAAACGACTGCTGTTAAACTGTTGGTTTTCACTGCTGTCAAACACAATCTTCCTAGCACTGCATGAGACAGCTGGCCTTTGGGGCCCACTGGAGCAGAAGGCTTTGGACTGGCCGAGACTTTCCCAGAACACTCTGGAGAGCAGAACTCCACCAACATTACCACCACAGGAACACCTTTCAATCCGCTGTTGGGGTGCCCTGAGCGGGGTCCTGTCTCAGCACCCCAGAGGAGGCTGGGAGACCTGGAGCCCACTGCAGCTTACCTTAGCTTTATTCATTTGATTTTATTTCCCTTTATTCCAAATGCAGACAGTCCTGCAGGGGGCCTGCCTCGCACACAAAGGACAGGAGAAGGAAGAAACAATGTGTCCATGGTTTTACCCAGCGCTAAGCTACTAACAGGACACAGGACCAAACTCTGTAGACGCCTCCTGTCAGCAGTGCCTCTCGGCACACTCAGACATGAAAAGGGCCAGTTTTATGTTACAGGTCTTGTTCTTTTATTTTGACTTTTGATTACAGTAAAAAAAAAAATCACCCAGATGAATTGTTATATCAGGCAGTGCTGTAGGGTGCGTCCACTGCGACGGCCAAGGACAGCAACTTCCCAGCCTCCCCTTTTACATCTCTGAGTCCTGTGGTCCTGTCAGTGGCTCGGTTTCCTGTGTCAGGCAGTCGGGGAGCTGCCCTGTATTCCAGGTCCCTCGCAGTCTGCATGCTGCTTTGGTTCCTGGAGAGGACATCTTTTACCATGCTGCGGGTGGCTGTGCACACTGTCACACACAGTCACCCTCCCGTCACAGAGAGCTATGTGGGCTTCCTCGCTCCATGGAGAGAAGGTGTCCTCATGCTCCTCATGCTGCTGTAGGACTGGTGGGGATAAAACAAGAACCTGGCCTGCGAGGGCTTTCGTTCATTCTCACACACAATACGAACTTTAAAAATCTCTGCTATGACCCCAGGAACACTGCGCTAAGTGAAATCAGCCAGGTGCAGAGAGAGGAAAGCCACATGGTCTGACTTATATGTGGGATCTAAAAGAGTAAAACCTGTAGTAATAGAGAGTAGATGGTGGTTAGCAGGGCCGGAGGCAGGGAAGGGTACCTGCAGATCCTGGCCCGAGGACGCAGACATTCACTCGTGAAGGGTGAGGAAACTCACAGAGCGCAAACACAGCGTGATGACTAGAGGTAGCAACAATATATTGTGTATTTGAAAATTGCAGACAGTAGGCTTGAAGTATTTTTACCATGCACAAAACAGCGTAAGTAAGATAATGGCTAAATTTGGCTAGTTTACAATGTATCTCAAAGCATCATATTGTAACCTATAATATATATACAAGCTTTGTTCAATCTATAAAGCTTATACAGCATGGTATATAATATAGTATCAATCATGCAAATCGGTAGTAAGTGGTACAAAAAAAAAAAAAAACAAACCAGCAGGATAGGAATGAGGAGGAAGGAATGCTACTTTTCAGGTGCAGTGCTCAGGGAAGCAGCCTCCGAGAAGCTAGCACGTCCAGAGTGGGCAGAGCCACGTGGACATGAGGAGAAGACCATG